TGGGTGGCCTTGGGCAGGTGCCCTGGGAGGCCTCTCCGAGAAGCCGGGAGTCCTGCTCCGTCCCCGGATCTCCCGGGGCGCTGATACCCTGTGGAGGCCCCACTCCGCCCGGCCCCAGTCTCAGCGAGACCAACCCCAAGCCTCCCTGCCTGCGCGGACCCCGGGGTGGGGAGGTTGGGGAGGATGGCGGTGGCCTGATTCCAGACAAGAATTCTCCTGCCACAGCTCCCATAGGGGCCAAAGCAGGTGTGGGGGGGGGGGACTGAGAAGACTGGGTTCTGGCCAAGATCCACTTGCCACTGGTGGTTGGTGGGGTGTCCCTGGGAATTGGTTTCCACTTCACCAGAGGCAGAGCTTGTTCAGGCTAAGAACGCCAAGGGAAGGCTCCTTTTCTAGAAGGATAGGGAAAGGGAACGCATCCTCCACCCCCCATCTTGCCTGGAGCCCTTTTCCCACAACAGACCAACTGTGCCCCCCCCCCGTGGGGGCTTCCTCTTTCCCCAGGTGTCTGAGCTAAAGTAAAACCGCCAAGTGTGGTTATTATTCTGAAGAGTGAGTGGATTGGAGACAGAGAAGGATGGCACTAACAGTCTTGGCTTTTTCTAGGGTTTCAGGTAAACTCTCCTGGGGCCTCCCCTCCAGCCCTTCACCCACCGGCCACCAAATCCCAGAGCTGAATGGTATCTGTCTCCATGGTGAGGGCTGAAATTCAACAAGGCAGTCTGATTCCACAGCCAAACTACTAGGCACTATTACCATACAGACTTCTCAAACATTAGAGCCCTGAACTGAGGGAGGACTCAGGGAAGATTCTCAGAGATTCAACTGCCATCTTCATAGGTCAGTATCCCAGAGGAATGTCCCCCTGGGGAAGAGAGGAGGTTGAGTGGCCTGTGAGGAGATGATAAAGACTGGAGTGGGGTAGAACATCAGAGAAACCCTTTGCTCTTGTCCCTCCCACCAGGACAAGCACAGAAGGAGGCTTCCCTTTGGGGCAGGAGAGTGGGGTTGAGGGTCTGACAATAACTGCACTTTTACCTTATAGCAAGATCTGCTGGGGGCAAAGAGCAAGCCTGTGTTTCCCTTCATGTAGACCATAGACAGCTGCCTCGCTGCACACAGCTGCACCCACGCTGACACACCTGGCACGAGCAGTTGGTCGCCAGCCACACATCCAGACTATCCTATTCCAAATGCCCTCAGCACTCACATAACTTCTGTGGGCGCATGCTAGCACAGCGGAAACCTCAGCCAACCCAGAGCTTGCAAAATCCATCCCCTGGAAAGGCAGAAATCAAGGAAGCCTCACCGATACTTGTCCTATGTGATTGGCTGAGATAGCAAAGATTGACAGAGGAACAGATTTTCAGAGGAGAGTAAGGGTTCTATGGTAGACATATTCACAGGGCATCCAACTATAGTGCCCAGTTAAATAGGGGGTCTGAGCAGGACTCTGATGGTTCATGTCGATAATCCTAGCTACTCAGATGGCTGAGATCTGAGGATCTTGGTTCCAAGTCAGCCTGAGTAGGAAAGTCCATGAGACTCTTACCTCCAGTTAGCCACCAGAAAAACAGAAAAACGGAAGTGGCACTGTGGCTCAAGGTGATATAGCACTAGCCTTGAGGAAAAGAGCTCAGGGACAGTTCAAGCCCTACTACTGACAAAAAGATGGAGGGGGGATATTTGAAGGACCAGACAGGATACTTAAATTTGGAAACCACTAGGTAATAGATGGCATTTTAAGATATGAGCTCAGAGGCGATCATTTGGAAACTGTGGATAAGGCCTATTATTTGACTTTTTCTTTTTCTTTTCATTAATTTACTTTATTGTTATTATAGAGGTGATGTACAGAGGGATTACAATTATATGAGTCAGGTAATGAGTACATTTCTTTTCCTATAGTGTTTTCTGTTCTCTCACTCTCTCCCAGTCCTTCCCTCCCATCTCCACCCACGAATTGTACAGCTCACTTTCACCAGTGTCCAGTGAGCTCCACTGCTGCACTTCTTCATTCTTTTTTCCTTGAGTTCTTCTGTCTAGAGTGACCATACTAGTTTACATTCTCACCAATTGTGCAGCAGGGTTCCTTTTCCCCCAAATCCCTGCCAACATTTGTTGTTCAAATTCACAATGTTGGCCAATCTTACTGGAGTTGAAATGGAATCATGTAGTTGTTTTGATTTGCATTTCCTTTATGGCCAAGGATGATGAGCATTTCCTCAGGTGTTTCTTTGCCATTCTTACCTCTTCTTCTGATAACTGTAAGTGTATGGTTTTATTTCTAGGTCTTCTAATCTATTCCATTGATCTTTGGGTCTGTTTTTGTGCCAATACCAAGCTGGTTTTGTTATTATGGCTCTGTAGTAGAGTTTGGGGTCTGGTATTGTGATACCACTCACATTGCTTTTTGTGCCTAGAATTGCTTTGGTTATTGTAGGTCTTTTGTTGTTCCATATGAATTTTTGGGTTATTTTCTCTATCTTGGTAAAGAATATCATTGGGATTTTGAGTGGATTGCATTGAATTCATATATCATTTTTGGCAGTATGGCCATTTACAATATTAATTCTACCTATCTGTGAACATGGAAAGTCTTTTCATTTCCTGGTGTCCTCTTTGATTTCTTTCTTCAGGATTTTATAGTTTTGGCTATAAAGATCTTTTATGTCTTTGGTTAGGTTAATTCCTGTGTTTTTTTTTACATGTTCACAATATATTTTATTTATTTTTTTTAATTTAATTTTATTTTATTTGTGAACATACTGTACAGAGGAGTTACAATTACATGGGCAGGATAATGCGTACATTTCTTACCAAGCATTGCAGCCTCCTCCTTTGTTTACCCTTCACATCCCTTCCCAGCCTCCCCCCTCCCCCCCAATCCCAATCCTTCTCCTTCCCCCTCCTTCCCCCCCCACCGACGTTGTAAAGCTCGTTTTGGACATGTTGCAAATGGAGTTGTTTTCAAGATTTCCTTTTCCACTTGTACATTGTTGGCATGCAGAATGGCTACTGATTTTTGTGGGTTAATTTCATATCCTGCCAAAGTGGTCAATCAGCTCTAGGAGCTTGGGGGAGGAATTTTTGGGGTTCTGTAGGTATAAGATCATGTTCATCTGCAAATAGGGATAGTTTGATTTCTTCTTTCCCTATGTGAATCCCTTTGAGGTCCTTTTATTGCCTTATTTCTCTGGCTAGGAATTCCAGAACTGTTTTGAAGAGGAGTGTAGTACATCCTTGTCTTGTTCCTGATTTTAGGAGAAATGATTTTAGTTTTTCCCCATTCAGTATGATGTTGGCTGTTGGCTTATCATATTTAACCCTTGTTGTGGGTTTTTGTTGTTGTTGTTGACTTTGTCAGTAGGTTGCTTGTAGAACTTGAACTCAGGGCCTAGGCATTGCCCCTGAGCCTTTTTGCTCAAGGCTAATGGTCTACCACTTTGAGCCACAGCTCTACTTCTGGTTTTTGAGTTGTTATTTGAAGATAGTCTCACGGGGATTTTGCTGCCCAGGCTCGCTTCAAACTGTGTTCTCAGATCCTCAGAGTAACTAGGATTACAGGGATGAACCACCAGCACCCGGCCTTTATTGTTTTAAGGAATGTTTCTTCTATTCCTAGCTTCTCCAAAGCTTTTTAATATAAATGGATGTTATATCCCATAGAAGGCTTTTTTCTGTGTCTATTGAGATGACCATGTGGTTCTTGTCTTCGGCTCTGTTTATGTGGTGAATTACATTTATTTGATCTGAGTATGTTAAACTAGCCTTGCAACTGTGGAATGAAACCTACTTGATCATAATGTTTGATTTTTAAAAAATTGTTTCTAGATTCTGTTAGCTAGTATTTTATTGAAGAGCTTTGTATCTGTATTCATCAGAAAAATTGGTCTGTAAGTCTCTTTCACTGTTGGATCCTTACCTGGTTTTGAGATGAGTGTAATATTGGCTTCATAGAATGAGTTTGGAGTTGCTCCCTCTGTTTTTTCTTTTTGTTGTTGTTTTGTCGGTTGTGGAGCCTGAACTCTGGGCTTGGGCATTGCCCCTCAGCTCTTCAGCTCAAGGCTAGTGCTCTACCACTTGAGCCACAATGCCACTTCCGGCTTTATCTGCTTATGTGGTGCTAAGGAATGGAATCCAGGTCTCATGCATGCAAGGCAAGCACTCTACCACTGAGCCACCTTCCCAGCCCCATTCCTTCTGTTTTTATTTTGTGGAAATGCTTGAGAGGTATTGGTGTTAGTTCATCCTGAAAAGTCTTACAGAATTCAGCTGTGAATCTATCTGGACTTGGACTTTTCTTTGTTGGAAGACTTCTGATTACTTCTTCAATCTCATTTGTGTGTTATTGGCCTGTTAAACTGGTTTATATCTCCTTGGTCCAACATAGGCAGTTTGTATGTCTTTAGAAATTTGTCCATTTCTGCTAGGTTGTCCTTTTTTTTTTTTTTTTTTTCTGGGTCCGGTCCTGGGGCCTGAACTCTGGGCCTGGGCACTGTCCCTCAGCTCTTCAGTTCAAGGCTAGTGCTCTACCACTTGAGCCACAGCACCACTTCTGGCTTGTTTCTTTTTTGCTTATGTGGTGCTGAGGAATCGAACCCAGGGCCTCAGGCATGCAAGGCAAGCGCTCTACCACGGAGCCACCTTCCCAGCTTCTGTCCTTTTCTGAGTTTAGGTTTTGAAAGTCATCCTTTATAATCATTTGGATTTCTTGGATGTTCATTGTAATGT